TTCTGCCTTATCCAGTCACACATATGACTTCATCCAGTGATGCCCAGCTTTTTACCTGGGTATTAGAGATTCAGACTGAGATCCTCACACTTGCCCAGCAAATGCTCTTCCCAACGGAGCCAACTCCTTAGCCTCCTTTCTTTACTTTCTCGCCTTCCATACACACTCTTAACTCCTAACATTCTCTGTTGCCAGTAGTCTCCTAACCACCAAGTCCATCAGATGATTGGCAGCCGTAACTGATTTCTCACACCTTCCCATTAACAATAAAAGCTATGCTAGGTCATCCACTGGAGCAACGCTTCTCCAGTGGGAGAGAAATTTTGCCCCCTCCCCAACTTGAGATTGAGCAGTGTCCAGGTTTTGGTTATTACAACTAGAAGCTAGAGCAGGGACACTGTTAAACATCAACAATGCATAAGACATCCTGCAAAACAAAGAATTCTTGGCCCCGTTGTTCATAGTGTGGAGGCTTTAAGCATATAATTGCATTTGGTCTTCACAATAACCCTATGAAGTGGGCATGATTTATCCTCTGTCTGATGATGAAACAACTGGCCTATCATTATGAATTATTTGGAGAGTGATTATTAAGTTAATAAATTCTTCAGACTCCCAGTTTCATCCTGAGACTAGTTCTCTATCCGTTAGCACATCTATCAGAAGGCTAAAGAGGGAGAAAAACAACCCAGCTCAGAGTTACAAAAAAAAAAAAAATCTCATTTAAGAAGAAAAAAAAATTCAAGGAGAAAATAATTAGCCAAGAGGCAGGGAGCACTGCGGCATATCTCCATCATCTCTGATTCCTTTTATCTCTCACACCCAGAATTCTGGAACCACCACGGTCTACCCACCTGCTACAAAGAGGAATCTAAGACCGGGAACCATACCATGTGAAAGCGCACACCAGAAACCCAAGTGGCTGTGCTTCCAACCTAAGGGCCAGAACGGATTTGGGGCAGTGAGCGCTGCCTGTCTTACAAGGAGCCCCTGACATCCCCTGTTCCGTTAGGTCGCTGCCAACCCTCTGGGCGGAGCACAAAGCCTGGCAAGAATCCCATGGCTTTATGCTTTTTCCTTCTTATTTGACAGATGAGATGAGGCTAGGGTTTGATTAAGCAGCTGCAGACTCCAGAAAGGGAGGAGATGCTGGTCCCTGCCTTGAAGGTGGCCCAGCTGTGAAAGGAAAGGTATTGTGGGCCTGAGCCTGCCTCCAAGGGGGGGAATATCCTTGAACAATCAGAAAGTGCTGTGTTTTTCCAAAAGCTCTTGGCAACCGCCATGCTGTCTCCAGGGTAGCGGCTGCCCTTCTCCTAATAATGAGGAAATTACAATTATTACCAAGAATTATTATTATGTGTTAAAAAATATATTGACTGCAAACAATGTGCTGTGATAAAGAACATTTTTAAGTAATTTCCTGAATGTGTTCCAAGTTGGTCACCCTTTTCTAACACTGGTTCATTTTAATACTTGCTTCAGACAGAAGTGTTTCAAAATGGGGTGTAAAATGATAGCCATGATTAAGTCAACCATTTAATTCTAGGAGAGCTCTAGGTGGCAAGATTGAGAATAAACCCTGACCACCGTCAGATTCTGCTCTCACTAAACTCTTACCTCTCAATACCATCACCACATGGGGATTTAAGACTTCAACAGACAGGTTTTGGGGACACACAAACATTCAGACTGTGGCAGAAGGCCAGCATGGCCATAGAGATTTTATGTGTTAAATGTTAAGTAGGAAACACTTTTACCTGGGCACATGTTGACAGTAGTTTCTGTCCTGCCTGGTCCAGCAGCTATTTAGTCCAAAAGAAACACACAGAGGCCTACATTAATTATAAACTGGCTGTCCTATTAGCTCAGGCTTCTTATTAACTCTTACATCTTAAATTAACCCATAATTCTTGTCTGTGTTAGCTATGTGGCTTGGTACCTTTTATCAGTGAAGCATTCTCATCTTGCATCCTGTGTTTGGGTGAAAATTGCAGACTGAGCCTTTCTTTCTTCCCAGAATTCTCCTATTCTGGTTGCCCCACCTATATTTCCTACCTGGTCACCCCACCTATACTTCCTGCCTGGCTACTGGCCAATCAGCATTTTATTAAACCAATACAAGTAACAAATCCATTGTCAAGTGACAAGACCATTGCACCACAGCAGGCACAGGCTCCAGGTCTTTTTAGCATGTGGCTCTGAAGCACTGATACCCTCTGCACACAGGCCTTTTCTTCAGGAGTGAGGGTTTTCATGTCCCATGAACACATGAAAATCTGGCTTTTGGAGCCCAGAGTCCTTTCTATATGTATGGTCCCTACAAACCGGCATCATGGGTGAAGCTAATGGACTCAGGTGTCTTTGCCGCTCTGAAGCCAAACCTCCTTAGTTTTCTTTTTTAAAACAGAGTCTCATTATTTAACTCCAGCTGCCCTGGAACTTTATATATAGACCAAGCTGCTTTGGAACTCACAGAGATCCACCTGCTTCTGCCTCCCAAGTGCTGAGATTAAAGGCTTATACCACTACTGGCTCAACCCTGCATGATTTGAGGGTTTATTTTCCCCAGTAGGATGGTAATAAGACAGTCACTATGACTTCCAAATGCTAAAAGGCAAAACTGAAAGAATTAGAAGACCATAGTAAGCATAGGACTCATGATACGTTACTCGGGTCTTTGTGGTTGATCTCCCTGTTTATAAAGCAAGGACATCAAGCTGGGTTAAAAAAGATTGGAAGTTACTCATTATTGAACCATGGATTTTGGTGGGTCCTAGGGGACTTTATAGAGATTAAACATTTTCAAATGGTAATGTTTTAAAATTAGGAACTTTCAAATAAAATTCTACAGGTGGAATTCCCATGAATACAAAAACCACTGTACTAAACTCAAATACTCAACATTTTCTCCTATAATCTAGTCTCTAAAACCCATTACTCCCTATGTAAAATATGAGAGAGAATGGGCTATTTAAGAAATTTATAAGAGGCTAACAGAGATGGGGGAGCTAAATTGGATTGGAGGAAGAAAACCGGGAAAGTGAGGCCTATAGAGATGACTTGGTGGCTAAGAGAACCTTCTGTATAAGCATTAGGACCTGAGTTCAGATTCTAGTACCCACAGAAGACGCTGGATGTGGCCATGTATGCTGTGAGGGGCAGAGACGAAAGGATCTCTGAGTTTCTGGCTCCATGCCTAGCTCCAGGCACAGAGAGAGAGAAACCCTGTCTCAAAGGAATAAGGTGAAGAGAGACAGAACAGAGGTTCAGCATCATCCTCTGGCCTCCACATGCACACATAATGCATGCACTCACACATACACAGGTTCAAACATCACACACACCGAGACATATACACACTACACTATACTCACCTACACACACACACACACACACACACACACACAAATATGTTTTTATTAAAAATTTGAAAAAGAAGGAAACTAAGATGAACAGGCTGATAAGAAAAAAAAAACCAACACAGTACTTGCACAGTATTTGAAGTATAGAGCATGATTTCCAAAGTCTTAACCCACAAAACACTGTTTTTATAAGCCAGCCATGGTGACTCATGTCTGTGATCTCAGCATTTGGGAGTCTGAAGCAGTAGGATCACCTTGAGTTTGAAGCTGGCCTAGACCACATCCTGTGCCAAGCCGTTCAGGCTACAGGTGGATCCCTTCCTCAAAAAACAGAAACAAAACAGTTCTGTTCTTTCTTTGTGGGGCTGAAGTCAAAGAGCTGTGTCGTGTGTACACTGCCCCTTAGCTATCATCCCATCTTGAGAATTATTTCCACCAATGCTTGGAGTGAAAATCTTAGGAAACAGGCTCGGGCTCTATCATTCCTCCGTTTTATAGAGGAGAAAACCGGAGCTCAGAGAGGATAGCACGCCTGTGGTCCCAGAGTTAGGAGATGACCAGGAGAATTCTCACACGGCAGCAGCTGCATTCCACACAGAGTAAAGCATGATTCTTTCTGTCCCCACACAAGCCCTCAGAGCGCATATCCCTCCACTTCACAGCTGCCTCCTTAGACTCCAGCTGTACTGGCCTTCCTGCCACTCACCCCACACCCCGCCTCCTAGAGGCACCCCGCTCCTTCTACTTGGACCACACTCTACCAGGTATCTGTGTTGGTTGGTTCTCTGCCTCTCTCACCTTTGACTTAATTACTAATATATCTACGAAGGCTTCCTAATGATACCAGTTAGAAATTGTTTTTCAGATGCTCATCCACACACACTATCCTCAACCACTCCCCAGTGACCATTTCTGATTTACTTTTCTCCAAAATGCATGTCATCATTGAACAGGAGTTATCTTGATGACCATATCCCCCATAGACACTTCATAAGGGAGGGACTGCTTATCTATGTTTTATTTCTATCTCTAGTTCTTGTTGTAATAGGAGCAGCGGGGCTGTGTCCCCGGCACCCCGGCCGCCTGACTAGCTTATGCCCCAAAATAACAACACACAAATTGTATTTATTTAAACACTGCTTGGCCCATTATATCTATCCTCTTCTAGACTAACTCTTGCACCTGGACTAGCCCATTTCTAATAATCTGTGTAGCATCAGTCTTACCAGGAAATATTCTAGCCTACGTCCATCCTGGGTCGGAGCTTCATGGCGTGTGCCTCAGAGAGCAGAGCTCTCTGCCCGGGAGAGGGAAGCATGGCATCTCTCTGAGCTCACTTCCTCTTCCTCCCAGCATTCTGTTCTGTTTACTCCTCCCACCTATGTTTTAACCTATCAGGGCCAAGCAGTTTCTTTATTGCTTAACCAATGAAATCAACAGATTGATGTATGACACTCCCACATCAAGTTTTTACATACTGCCTGATGCTATATAGAAAATGACTCATAAATATTTGCAGACTCAAATTTTAAACTGCATTTACATGTCATATCCCAGCCTCAACGAGTTTGATTTGACCCACATTGTTTTTGGTCTTTTCCTAGGGACATTCTGGAGTCACATTCCTCTATCTGGGCTATGGCACCTCTGAGCCAGATAAGCACCCACATCAACTCCACCTGTGGGGCAGAGAACTCCACAGGGGTCAGCCGGGCCCGCCCGCATGCCTACTATGCTCTGTCCTACTGTGCACTCATCCTAGCCATCATCTTCGGCAATGCCCTGGTGTGCGCGGCTGTGCTGAGGGAGCGCGCCCTACAGACCACCACCAACTACCTGGTGGTGAGCCTGGCTGTTGCAGACCTGCTGGTGGCCACGCTGGTGATGCCGTGGGTGGTGTACCTGGAGGTAGGTGGGCTCACGGGCCATGCTGCTCCAGAGTGGGTAAAGATCAGGACACCCCTTGGAGTGCTCAGGCAATGAAGGAGGGAGGGAGAATTTCTGGCATTCTCCCTTCAGTGAGGGAGCTGACGCTTGAGGAGATGCATGAGAACCAGAGTCCTGGGAACAATGCTCTGCCTGTGACTGGGCTTGAGAGATGGGGCTGTTCCTAAAAAAACTCTCTGTGCCAACCATGTGTTATCGGTGGAGTGTGTTCTGATGAGCATCTTCACCCAGATTCAATGCATCTGTGATGCGGATATAGGACAAGGGGGGGAAATTTTTCTAATGAACGAGAAGAACGTTAGAATGGTCAATAATAGACCAGTTCTCTTTTTCTCTTTTCCTCCCTTCCTTCCTTCCTTCCTTCCTTCCTTCCTTCCCTCCTGTTTCAGCTGCCCTTCAGCTTGGCTCTTTCCTCCTGGCACTGGCTTTCCATAGATTCTGCTACCCAAGGCTCAGGTTAAACCTTCAAATATAAATTTTCTATGCCTCCATTAATAGTACAAAGCCCTTGCCACTCCAATAATGCAGCAGACTCTAGAGAATAATCTTTGGGGGAACATTTCTTAAATTTGGAAGTATTTTCATTTAAAGGTGTAAAATAGAGTCAGAAGGTGATCAAGACAAAACATCCATTTGCTAACAAGGAAATCAGGGTGCCTACATCTGTTCAAGGAACACATCCCCTTACCAGGAAAACATGCAATTATTAAAGAGATGTTTTAAACGCCTTAATATGCTATTAATATTTCTCCTCTGCACTGAATGTCACTCTAAAGAGATATCCAATGAAGGATCAAAATGATGCTATGATTAAGAGAAATTAAGATTCATCAAATTAATATTTCAGTTAATATTAATAGGGAAGGTGACAGTTAATTAAGTATGACATATCACGGGAGAGTAAAAGCCTTGAACACAGACTGCCTATGCTAGTACCCGCACTAAAGAGTGACTGGGTACTAAAATTAGAGTTACGAGTGCAACCAGGGGGCACACGGGAAAATAAAGAGTAGGTATAGGAAGAACAGGGAAGGGAGAAAAACAAGCAGGCTGATTGAGAGAGTTCTAGAGGGGGAAATATGTATTTCTTCCTCCCAGTTAGGATAATCTTGATGGGGAGAGATCTTATAATTATCTTGACTTTTCTGTCAACCCAATTACGCCAAGTCATTCTTCGCGTTGAGGCAGTATCTTGCCCTTCTGGAATCATGCTTCTTACTGTAAAGGGAATGAACCATTTATTATCTGATAGTCAATGATAATGAAAGAGGAGTTCAAATCATGTGCTATTTCTATCCAAAACTGAGACTCTTCACATAGCGCAATCCAATGCTTCCTGGTAGCAGCTGTGCTCTGCTGATCACCCCAGTTCAGGGACTCCTTGACTCTCCCACGAGATGATTGCCAGGAAGAAATGGAGGCTCCCATAAACATTTCCGTTTATCTACAGCAAAATGAGGCATTTGATGTCTGTAATAAAGTGATGTTGAGGGTCGGGTGGTGGTGGCACACATCTTTAATCCCAGCACTCAGGAGGCAGAGGCAGAGGTGAGTTTGAGGCCAGCCAGGGTAGGTACCAAAGCTGCACAGAGAAACCCTGTCTCAAAATAAATAAAGTGATGTTGACCAAAGAGAAGGACTCTCAGGCTAGCTGTTTGTGATTGCTTCCGGAAGTCTGGTTGGATTAAAGTAGAACATTTCCATGCATGCTTGTTTAGAAAATGGACATTGTGACTTTTCTGCACTGGAAGGCCATGGCAATCCCCTCTAACCACAGCTGTCAATATTAGTGTTGTCCCTAATCTATGTTTGAACATTAAAAAAAAAAAAACAACAACAACTAGGACTTAAGAAAAACATGAGAAACCTGACCAAAGGCCCTAACAGACTCTCTGGAGTGGCGTCTATGGGTTGTCCCCGTGAAAAGGAACTTGAATAGAGCTCTTAGCCGTCCTCCTTCCCAAAAAACCAATGAGAACAAAAAGCACCAGAAGACTGTACAGGGCAGTTTTCAGAAACCCAGCACAGAGTCGATGAAATCAGCACTTGTCTAAACCCACGGCGGAGCCGAGGCATGACCCGCTGGGAAATGGGTTGGTTCTGGAAGCCAGTTTCTGCTCTTAACCAGCTTGCTCAAAGCTCTAGTGACTAGAGTCTGACCAATGCAATTCAATATCTCAGAGAATTTCTCTAATAGTCAAGGGTCTATCTTGCTGAAGCCCAGGGTGAGACTTAAATCAAACTTTAGCCAGTTATGATATGATTGTGTCCCAGGAAAAGCCAACTGCATGCTTATTAATGAGTCCTGAAGATGACACACTTTGAGTGCTGGTCTAGTGATTTCATTCACACCTAAGAGCAAAGGGTGTGGTGTGGACCAAAGATACTGCTGTTGGTCTAAGGGCCAATTGATTTGAGAGCCCTCGGAAGACAGGACACACATAAGAAGAAAACTTACCTGAGAGCCAGGAGCCTCACAAAGTCTGTAGTCTACTTGAAATAGTCATCTTTCCTGAAGAAAACTTGGCCAACTTTCTCATAGTAACATGTGAGTTAGTGGAGATGCCTGTGTTGTTGATATCAGAAAGCTTGACTTGCTGTGACTTAAACAAAAGGGGTTAATTTTGTCACATGCCAGAATTCTGGAGGAAGCTGGCTGTTGGTGTTATTAGCTGCCCTGTGGTGTCATCAAGGTCCATGCCCTTTGATCTGCCCTCTTGGCTGTGTTGGCAAGCTACCCAGTTCTTCATACTATGACAGAGCAGCTGGCAAAGCCTCAAGCATCATGTCAGTGACCCAACACAAGAAGGATGGGGATGCGGTGGGGGCGGGGGAGAGGTGGGGAGGAAGTTGTTCTGAAACAGCTCATTTTGAATTATCTCCTCAAGGCGTTTCAGTCTAACTGGCTAGAACTGAGTCATGCACTAGACAATGCCAGAAAAGAAAAAGTTAAAATGTAAGTTTTGTTTTTAAAAAGAAAGCACAGAGGGTGACAAATTGCTAGGAAGAGGGCAATAAATTACCATCCAACACTGCCTCTGTGGGAGTTCACCGGAAAGAGTGTCATCCCAACGCAGGGTCGCTTTATGAGGGAGACTCAGAAGAGGGCATCTGAAGACATGAACTTGCATGATTTAGATGGGGATAGCGACACTTTATGCTGGGCTGACGTTAGCCTCAACCGTCACCACCAAAGAGGGTACCTTGGTAGCTAAAGAGCATGATCTACAAGTACATGCATCCAGAAATGTTTAGTTGTGAGTCAAAGAAAACTCAACTACACTCAGCTTAAATTATAAGCGCAATGAATTGGTTCCCATCTTAAAGAGTCCTGTGGCCGCATGGGCTGCAGACGTACTATCAAGGGTTCCAACTCCATCTCTCTGCCATTCTTTCTGCTCCACCTTCTTCCAGTTAGATCACATGCACAGGCAAAGTGACAAGTATAAGCCTCACACGTGCACACCGTACCATCCACACAAGGAGGACATCCATTCCCCCAGAAATTCTGGAAGTATCAAGAGGCATTCAGTTGGACTGGCTTACAACACAGGATTCCCCCCAAACTGATCACCAGTCAGTACTGATTTAGCATAGTTTAAAACTGTGCCTCTTCCAAGGAACACATTAGTAGCTCAGGCTTCTCGTGGGTTTCCAGTGGAATCCAGGGATGGCTGAAAAGAAAGACTGGTCAATGTGAAGCACCGTCAAGCTGTCATAATTGCCCTCCTCCTCACTAAGACACACAGGCCTGTGCCCTCGGGAGATGCATGACAGGAAACTCACAGGGGCCAGGTACAGCACTACCTCAGGGTTCTCTGTCCTCTGTCTGTGAAGATATTCAGGACAAAAAAAGGATGTGGGTGACCTTACAAATTGGATTTCAGAGGGTCCCTGACTTAGCTGTTTCTTTAATTCAGTTTTCCTTGTTTTCTGGGACAGTCTTTTCAGTGAAGTGCTGTGGCGCTCTATCTCAGATTAGCTCTCCAGTTTCTAATTTCCTGCTTTTCGGCACTGCAGTCTTCAAGCACAGACATCCTCCTTAGTTCTACTTGGTTAAGCGCCTTTTGTGCTACTCAATGCAGTTATGGAAGGACGGAGAGGGAAAGGAAGAATGCAGGAGGATATTTGAAGTAACAAACGCTCCCACGACCAATGGTATGACATAATTTTTTCATCTTTAAGATGGCGTGAAAGCAATGCACAGTCAATAGAAACACACTTCAGATTTTTGGATTCCGATCTTCTCCCAAGCGAGCTGTACATAGCATAATATCCCCAAGTGTGCAGAGAAACATCAGGGATGACAGTTCCCATTCAGTTCCATGACCCCAAAGGGAACCATTGCTGCACTGGTCGTGTGCTGCTGAGTTGTGCTTAGCGTTTTCAACTTACAACACTTTCTGTAGGTTTGCTGAGAATTAAATCTCATTTTGGACCATCCCTCTGAGGAGTTATAGATAGTTAATTGTTACAGTGGGTGAGACCTTTTCTTCAGTGGCATAGTCATTGGGAAAGTGTCCATGGCCCCATAAATAACCCTTTATCCATAATCTCACAAGCAAATTTCATAACACTCATTGAGTCATAGAGAGAGAGACAGAGACATACCCAGCATGAAAGAAATATAGACAAGCAAAATAGAACAGGGTAGGTTCAGGCAGGCACAGACAATAATGAAAATTGAATTAAAGAAACAGCTAAGCCAGGGACCCTCTGAAATACAACTTGTAAGGTCACCCACATCCTTTTTTTGTGCCAAATATCTCTACAAGGCCACAACAAGGGGGTAGGGGGAAGTAGCCTGAAGAGATGAGAGGATAATGACAGAAAAGAACAGGAATATGTAGGAAAGGAAAAGTCAAGTCTTTGGACCTTAAACTAAAGCTTTCAAAGAAGTGTTGAACCTTAGTTAAAAAACAGGTGATAACAATTTTATTAATACCTCACACTGGAAAACA